TCCCAAACATGTTAACTATATCATAACATATTTCGATTCTCAAATATGTGTAAGTACATGCATTTTGTACTTTTATAGATCAGGTTAGTTGATCTATAATGGGCGATGGTCAAAGCAGACAAATGTTAATGTAATCTATTAACTACACATGAAACCCTTCTTTTTACTTAAGTAGGCCTACCAGATATGGGTGTCATGTTATAATATTTTTAATACGATTGACTTTGTATTTAAAGTGAATTTAATAAAAAAAACTTTGTAAGTTTCTAATTATAACACTTTCATGGTACAGAAAGAGAGCAAAGAACATTAACATTATAATGGGAGTTTTATTAAGTGTTTGAACTCTGGCTAGACTGAAGTCAGTGATAATGTTTTTTGATAATCACTGAAGCTGTTTACACTGTGAAAAGCATATCTTACTTACATCATTCGCACATCTGCACTTCGTTGTTTCTGATGAGAGAATTAATTTTCCAGAGAGCAGAATTCACGCGCAGTGAACAGAACATATTTCAGTGATGAGTCATCCGAACACCTCTGATTGGTCATTGCATTCATAAGCTGAACAGAATTGCATGTGATTGGTTATAATGTGCAGCGCTGTAAAAACACGTCTGTCTCTGGCTCAGCGCCAGCCAGCAAAAGCAGATTTTAATTTAGCAGCTAGTGATGTGCCGCACATCACACCCGTGTGATTGAATCAATTATAAAAAAAAATATATTATTCTGCTTTTTTGTCTTTTGGAAGCTGAATTCCAAAACCACTTGGCACGTGCCCCCTCGCTTTGAATTGGCATGAAGCCTCTGCAGATACAGATACAAATAATTTTGTGATTGTTACAGATACAAATACTGGCTCCGCTGCACACCCCTATGTTAGACTATAAAGACTAGAAGCTTTCTTGAGTTTATTATAAACTAGCGCTACGACCCAGAATCTGCCCAACCTAAATTTACAGTCAGGAGCCACTACTGTGCTACTGCTAGGTAGAAGATAGTTTTAAACAGGGAATTTATTCCAAATGACACAGAAGATCAGTAAATCCGCATCAGCAACCGTGAGGAACTAACAGGGAGAAAGTCTAGAACTGAAGAGGGAGTTTACATAATGAGGCTAATGAGGGGTGGAAAGGTGAAGGTGATAAACAACTAAG